ACCCCCTCCATTTGCCAAGTCCGTGTCCCCAACTGTTCTCATGTCCCCGCAGAACCGGACGCCGTTGATGTTCCAGCGCATGGAGCCACCGTCCCCGACACAGGAGGGGGCCCCAGGGCCGGATGCGGTGGCCACAGCTGAGCCAGGCGGGGGGCTGTAAGTGCCACTAGCTCCATCCTGCCCATCCCCGTCCCTGGTGCAGGGGCCTGGTGGGATGGTGCTGAGTCACCCGTGCCCCACAGGGCCGCGCACGATGGGGGCCTCAAGGAAAGTCAGTCGTGGGTCACCCAGCGCGCCCAGGAGATGTTCCAGAAAACGGGGACCTGGAGCCCCGAACGGGGACACCCCGAGGATGTCCCCAACAGCCGCCCCAACTCCCAGGTGAGGGCGGTGCTGACTTCTGGCCCTGGAGTCCCCTGAGCCTTGACCAGCCCTGTGTCCAGCTGTCCCCTGTGTCCCTATGCCCCCTGAGCCCCATCTCCCATGTGCCTGTCTGTTCCTGAGGGTCCCTATGTCCCCAACCGTCCCCTAAACTTCATCCCTCAGCGTCCATCCCTGAGGTCCCCATGTCCCCAACCATCCCCTAAATCTCATCCCTCAGCGTCCACCCATCCCCATGTCCCTGGGGACCCCCGTGTGCCCGGGGATCCCTGTGTCCCCATGGGAGCATCTAGGGGGGTGCAGCATGATGCACCCAGCCCTGGCCATGCCTCAGTTTCCCCCCGCTCACGGCCCTGCCCCTCTGCGCCCCGCAGTCCGTGGAGATGCGCGAGATGGCAAAGGACGGCTACTCCGACAGCGACTACCTGTCCAATTCTCCAGCCATCTGCCCATCCACTTCTCCATCCATCCCCTTCTCCATCCATCCATCCCCTTCTCCATCCATCCATCCCCTTCTCCATCCATCCATCCCCTTCTCCATCCATCCATCCCCTTCTCCATCCATCCATCCCCTTCTCCATCCATCCATCCCCTTCTCCATCCATCCATCCCCTTCTCCATCCATCCATCCCCTTCTCCATCCATCCATCCCCTTCTCCATCCATCCATCCCCTTCTCCATCCATCCATCCCCTTCTCCATCCATCCATCCCCTTCTCCATCCATCCATCCCCTTCTCCATCCATCCATCCCCTTCTCCATCCATCCATCCCCTTCTCCATCCATCCATCCCCTTCTCCATCCATCCATCCCCTTCTCCATCCATCCATCCCCTTCTCCATCCATCCATCCCCTTCTCCATCCATCCATCCCCTTCTCCATCCATCCATCCCCTTCTCCATCCATCCATCCCCTTCTCCATCCATCCATCCCCTTCTCCATCCATCCATCCCCTTCTCCATCCATCCATCCCCTTCTCCATCCATCCATCCCCTTCTCCATCCATCCATCCCCTTCTCCATCCATCCATCCCCTTCTCCATCCATCCATCCCCTTCTCCATCCATCCATCCCCTTCTCCATCCATCCATCCCCTTCTCCATCCATCCATCCCCTTCTCCATCCATCCATCCCCTTCTCCATCCATCCATCCCCTTCTCCATCCATCCATCCCCTTCTCCATCCATCCATCCCCTTCTCCATCCATCCATCCCCTTCTCCATCCATCCATCCCCTTCTCCATCCATCCATCCCCTTCTCCATCCATCCATCCCCTTCTCCATCCATCCATCCCCTTCTCCATCCATCCATCCCCTTCTCCATCCATCCATCCCCTTCTCCATCCATCCATCCCCTTCTCCATCCATCCATCCCCTTCTCCATCCATCCATCCCCTTCTCCATCCATCCATCCCCTTCTCCATCCATCCATCCACTTCATCTGTCCATCCCCTTCTCCATCCATCCATCCATCCAATTCTCCAGCCATCTGCCCATCCACTTCTCCATCCATCCCCTTCTCCATCCATCCATCCCCTTCTCCATCCATCCATCTATCCATCCAATTCTCCATCCATCTGCCCATCCCCTTCTCCATCCATCCATCCCCTTCTCCATCCATCCATCTATCCATCCAATTCTCCATCCACCTGCCCATCCACTTCTCCATCCATCCCCTTCTCCATCCATCCATCCACTTCTCCATCTGTCCATCCCCTTCTCCATCCATCCATCCATTCATCCACCCAGCTCTCTCCATCCCACTGCCCCTTGCTCCATCTGTCACTGTCCCACCATCCTCTGTTCTATCCCTTCACTGCACCATCCCTCCATCCATCTTCATCTTTCCATTCCACCCTCCATCTCTCTGTCCCTCCCTCCATCCTTTATCACTTCATCCTTCTCACTCTCCATCCACCCTCCATTCGTCTGTCCTATCCCCCTCTCCCTCTGTCCTTCCCTTCCTCCTCCCCAATCTCTCTCCGTCCTGTCCATCCAGAAGCAGCAGCTCATCAGCCATCTCTTGACTCTACTGTCCGTCTGTCTGTCCCCAGCTGTCCTCCTGTCCCTGTCCCTCCCTCCTTAGCTCTGCTATCATGTCCCCGTGTGCCCAGGACCCATCGCTCCAGCTCCGTCCCTGCACTCCTGCTGTGTCTCTGTGTCCCTCTCTTGTCCTCCCACTCTGTGTCCCAGTCCCGTGGCCACCTCAGGGCTGCTCTGGCCACCCAGGCCTTTGTCTCAGTGTCCTTCTGCGTGCCAGCACCAGTGTGACCAGCAAGGACCAGCGTCCCCAGCCCATCTCCCCCTAACCCTGTCCCTGTCCTCCCCTGTCTCTCCCCGC